CCATATCACTTCCCATTGTGCTGGTTTCAACCCACTGATGCAGAGCTTACCATTTGCTGAAGGGCCGGGACTGTGTTATTTATTCTGTTTCCTACACAGTAAACTCCATTGAATAAAAGGTATGTTGAAAGTATGTTTAAGATCTCTTTAAAATTTCCAGAGTTCTTAGAATGTTGAAAGTTATTGATACAAAGAAGAACCTGAAGTTCCAACCAAAAGTTATGCTAACCAACATTTTCTGAAGTGTGAGGCACTGATCTTATATTTTCCTTCCAAAACCCCAGGTCACTCAGAGGAGGAACAGAGATACAAGGAGATTATGCGTCGAGCCCAAGGGGAATATTCAGGAAGTGGCAGTGCAAACACTCAGATTTTCCAGCGGCAAAGCCCCTGGGCCGGACCACCTGCTGTGCTGCCTGACCACTACGTGAGGCTACCAGTCAGGATTTAGATCCCACTTGGGAAAGGCCACCTGCCCCAGGCTGGGCCCTAGAGCAGGTTCATCTACAGATGAACACAGGGCCAGAAACACAAAGCAGCAGTGTCAGCACGCTTGGAATAGGAGGACAGGTCTTCAGAAGAGGAGCACGTCCCTCACTGCCCCCGGGGATGCTGTTGAGTCCAGTATGTTACATCAACCTGTACTCTTCATGCTCGGACAGATCAGATTGTTAGGAGATTGGAAGTCTCAATGAAGACCGAGAAGCAATGGGAAGGCCAGTGTCACTGTCCCATGCAGGGAAGCAAACCTGGCTTCCCTAATCACCTGGGTACCAGCCCCTCCTCATACTGGCCCATCCAGATACTGTGAGAGCCACTCTCTGTCTCACCTGTTCACAAATGTACAGCTCCAGACCCTACTGGAAAGGCTCAAACATGTGTGTGTGCGTATTTATGGGCTACTTTCAGAGACATCCTCAAAGAACCTGTGGACCACTCTGCAGAAGTAGGATCTGGGCTCCATGGCAGATGCACTCGATGAAGGACACCACGCCTGGGAGGCAGAAATGTGGGGACTCAGGACAGATGTGGATATTACACAGTCGTTAGGAGAGGGGAGAGCCTTGTGGTTGGGTTTTCTGAGCAGCTGGACTCTAGTCATCACCCTCCTTGATCAATAGCTGGACCTCCAGCAAATGGAGGAGAAGGACTGGGCCAACACCAGCTGCAGTGTAGCTTTCAAAGGCATTAACTTCCTGAAGGACGTTGAAACCAGGTGCTCCATCTTCCAAAACACTGCTTTGCTTCCCACTTCTGGAGAGGCCAGGCTCGTTTTCTGACCACTTATAGTTCCCAGGGAGGATTAGAGAGACTTCCCCCTGCCTTCCAGAGACACCTGGGCCTGGCACTACCCCAGCCTTCCTGCGAGAGAGAAGGGCTGGGGCGGCACCCATGTATGTGTTCTTGCTCAGGGGCCTGAGCAGCCTTCATTCCCTGTCTGCCCATCACAAGCTAATAATAGCCTTGAACGGCTGCTAGTCAAGTCCATCAGCAGTGGGACCACCTCCTCCCTTTCTGGGCTTCCCTTCCTGTACTGGGACAGCAAATGCAAGCAATAAGCCAGCCTCCCAGGGAGGGTAGAGATTGAGGGGTGCAGAGGCGGGGGCCACGGCCCATCTGCTCTCTGTGGACCATTAGCTGGTGGCCACTGCCTGTGAAAAGACGAGCCCTAGGCTGGCCAGGGCTGCAGTCCAGATCCGGGGTGCCCAGACTGGGGCCAGCTGTGACCACTGCCTTCTGCCACAGCCTGCCTGGAGAGTCATCCTCCAAATTAACAGCCCTATGTCTTTCTCACAGCCAGCACTCAGGATTTGAGCAAAGGAAAAAAAAAATCAAAAGCTCAGGTTCATGCACTGGTTTTAAATCAATTCCTTTAACAAATCTACTTTTTCATCTCCATAGTGGAGAACGCAGTGGATGTAGGGAAACAGGAGGAAGTGAGTCAAAGCCGAGTCAGACACTGCCCTGCTCCCACATGCACAGATAAGAGAGGAGCCCGGAGGGAGGATCTGGGAAGATGCATGGTGAGCAAATGAAAAGAGGTCATCTGCACATACCTCAGGAGCCATTACTTCCTACTGTAGGTTTGTGACCAAACTGGTGAGCAGCCGTGAGACCTTTTACAAGCCATTCGTTGTTCATCCAGCAGTGTCACCAATGTTTAATAAGCACCTACTATGTGCCAGGCACATGCTAAATGCCAAGGATACAACAGTGAGTGACAGCAGCGCCAGCACACCCACATGGAGCTTATGGTGTCCTATGAGATGCCCAAGAGTGGGCAGGCCAAGGCAGAAACAGCTCAAAAGATAGCAGGCCCAGGGCTGGCAGAGCCACACAAAGGCTCCTGGACTCCTTGCTCAGAACTGGGTAAAGCCCAATGGAAATGGAAAGCCAGGAAATGACAGGGTGAGATCTTCCCTTCTCCAAAATCACATTGATAGTGGGTAAAAAGCACCCTGGGCATGGAAAGGGCCAGAGTGTGCCCATCGGGAAGCACTGACCTCTCAGGCCAAGGCCCTGGGCTGCATCTTAGCACCAAAGAAACAAAACATCAAGATGGACAGAAAGGAGCAGGACCTGGAGTGAAAAAGACCTCGCCTTAGGTAAAAGCAGTGCGCACTCCAGGCTCCGCATGGCAGCTCTGCTCACACACATGCCGCACAAGCTTCTCCAAAGCCAGGTCCCTGTGTGCAGGACCCAAGCCCAGGCCAAGGAGAGCCGAGGCGCCATCAGCGGGCAGCACACAGCATGGTGGCGCAGCCCAGCATGCCCACAACACGGTCTCTGCCTCCCTTGCATATTTTACTCATGGTAGCTTTTGACACAAGAGTGCCCATGGCCAGGTGTCTGTTCTCTCCGTGTGGCAAGTGTGAGGGAAAAGGAGACTGTCACCATCTGGATGGTGGCCACAAGAGCACTATGGCAAGTGGTGTCAACCACTAGCCTGTGCACTGTGGGAGAGAAGGATCCAGGGGCCAAATAGCACACCCTCTGTCATCCAGTTCAGTTTGGCGACCCAATCATGGGAGCCTGGCTTCAAAGCCATGGGATATAGAGGGTGCATGCAGAAGTCAGATCATGTGTTTGTCTCTTACAAAAATCGCCTGAAGCCTCGTCTCACCCAAGGTAAGAGGAAACCCCTGCCCACAGTGCAGCCAGTCCTCTCTTTTTTGTATGCCTCACCCCATCGCTCTCGGGCCACCGCTGAGTATGAGATGCCTGGCTAGCATGTCAGAGACCTTACCCACAAATAGCCACAAACTATGCAAAGCTGAGAAATAGGAAGCAGGCATGGCTGACACATACTTAGCCATGGTGATGTCCACTTCATTGCAGCTTGGCTTCTTTACCGCTGGAATACAGCTCCCCCTCCAACTTGTTCCCAGTGCCACCCAGGCCTCCAGAAAGGGCCACAGAGTATCACTGCAGACTTGGGGTCACAGCCGTTGGGCTGCCCTCGTCTAGAGAGAATGCTGCTATCTTTGTCTCTAATTTCATGGCTCCTGCAGAAATGTCCGCCATGCTCAGTATGCTTCTCCTAGATTAGTCTCAGGAAGCAGCTAGCTTTGCAAAGACACTGGTGAACAATTTTGGGAGGTAACTGGGACTTAACTGTATTAAGATAAAGAAACTCAGACATAGATAAATGGTGGTCACAGGCCACTGCAGGGCCATCCTGCTCATCTGTGCAGGACACAGGAACACAGGGCTTCTGAGTGGGTCTAGCCATGCCCTGGTGGCCCTGCCCATTCCTGTGCTCCATGGTGAGCAGCCTCAGGCCTCAGGGCCCTGGCACCCTAGGGCCTCCTAAAAGCAGCAGAGGAGGACCCAGAGGAAGCTGACCAGGCCACCATAAATGAGCTCCATGCACCCCACAGAGTCTCCTTATCCTTGGGAAAACAAACCAATGAGAAAAGAAAAACTAGAAGCCATGCCACCATGAACCCAGCAATCTGCAAGCAGGTCAGGATGGAGACGCTGTCACTGGCCACCAAACCAGAGTCCCTGTCATTACAGGTCTCCAAGCAGGTGATCTGACATCCTGCTTTAGCCCCTGAGTCCATCACCAAAACATCAAGAACCATGTCTCAGAACAGGACAAGCAGAAACAGCAGCTGGCTGGCTGTGCGCCGCGATATGCCCTATCTCCAAGGGGCAGCACGGAGCCCCAGGACCGCTATTATCACTGTCTAAATACTCACCAGCCCGGTCTCTCCCAGAGCCCCATGGGCGCCTTTTCTCTGCCTCCTTAGCCTTCTGTCCCTCAGGTTAGCAGTACAGATCCAAAGTTCAGCATTTCAAGAACAGAGACAGTGCAGCCACAAGGTGACTCATCTCCACAATTTAGAGAAAATAAGCAAGTTCTTTCCACAAGAAGATGCAAGCGCCCCAGCAGAGAGGGACAGCCTCACAGGGCTCTTGCTCACCCAGGTCTAGGCACCAAGAAAAGCACTGCTTAGAAGTCAAGGCCAGGGTGATTGTCACACACATCCTCCCAGCCCTGATGCAGACAGAACAGGGTTATTGGCTGGGCAGCAAAGCACCCTCTGACCCAAGCCTCAGGCTGTAACAGAACGCACGACCTGGATTAACTGAGTCAGGCAGTGACCACCTGCCACCCACTTCAGAGGCAGAGCCAGTGGCAGCCAGGGCTGCTTATTCCAAGCACAGAGCCACAGCCAGGGGTTCCAAGGGGCACACACAGGCCAGCTCACGCTGTGCGCCACTGCTGTCCCAGCCCACTCCCTGCCTGCCCTGCCATTCCCAGCGCCTGCCCCTTGAGTGGCCCCATACTCACTTTCAGGAAGCACCTCATGCTGCCCTTAGCAGGCTCCCACCAGGTCCGTGGCTTCCTGAGGAGCAGCCACAGCTGCGGTGTGCATGGCCTCTGCCCCCACCCACTGGCCTTATCATGGAGGGTGGTGTCACCTGGGGCTCGGAGATTATGGGAGGAGGGCACCGTAGGACTCTGGCTCTGGCCTCTGCTTTCCCGGCTTTCCTGAGGCCCACTGCCTACCTGCCCATTTGTAGGGATTCCAGGCACAGTCTTAATAACACAGGGGCTCCAAAGAGCCAGGTGCCTGGGTGGCAGGGTGAGGTGGGAGGGACGCATAGGCCTTATGGGCAGACTCCTGCAGTACCTGTCCAGGGCCGTGATGGAGTGTGATGGTATCTGACCAGGGCAGCTTTATCTGGTGAGACACTTGCCCTGAAACGGCAGGTGGTGGATGGCAGACGGCCCAGGAGACCCAAAGCAACTGAACCGTGAGTCCTGCTTCCCTGGAGCTGGGGTGACTTTAGGGAGGGACCCCTGTGCGTGTCCAAGGGCCCAGAACTTCCTTTCTAGATGGCTGGGCTGCTGGTTAGGGCCCTTCCTGAGCAGGGTCCCTTCGCTCTTCTGCAGCGACCCGGACTCCCTGCTGCTAGGCCAAGGCTGGTCCAGATCCCCGAGGAGCAGCCATCTGGCTTCACAGCTCTGAGCAGAACCAAAGCAGTCTACTGTGAGGGCACAGCTGCCAAGGAAATGCCATCCGCAGCCCGCACCGCCCACACAGAGCCATCTCCAGGTGACCAGCACCTGCCCTGGCCAGCAAGTCCGAGGCCACACATCCCTAAGCAGGTGCCCCTCAAAACCAAGGACCTCAAATCATGGCTTTTTGCTTTTGAAGGGGGCCAGAAGACTAAAATCCAAACCAAGCAGGTCCTGGCAGACAGCATCTCAAACACCTCTGTTGATAACAGGGTACCCCAAAGGCGCAGGGCCAGCCCGTGTCACCTGTGCATGCTCAGGCTGAGGGTGGCAGGTTTGTCCCCAGGCAGCACTGGTAAAAACGCCCAGAAATTGCCCATGGCTCTCACCAGTGACAGCACTGAGACAGGACGCTACGTCGCCATCCAGGGAAGCAGGGAAACCCAGGGTCCTGACGCAGCACAGGATGAGCTGTAGAAAATGCTCCAAGGAAAAAACTGTGGTCCCAAGTCTCAGCCTGGGCGCAGCCACTCACATTCCCCTGTGGTCTGGGACGCTTGGCTTAGCACCTCAGGGAGCCCGTCCACCTCAGTTTCACCATGGAGCCCCCATCTCACCCCACCAGCAGCTTCAGATTCTGCTCCTGCAGATCCAACCACAAGGAGAGGCCAGATGCCCTCGGGGGTTAGTGAGCCACCAGGGACACCCACACAGCCCATTTCCCCTAACAGATACGCTCGTGCCTGAGCCCCCAGGTCACTGGACACAGGACCCTGTGATGACCTGCAAGCTACAGAGGATCCTGTCACTCTCATCACAAGCAGACCGACCCCGAGGACTTTCATCAGTGCGCTGCCAGCTCCAGCCTGTTCCTCTTTTACTCTGTGAAAGTGGTCACCAAAAGCATCCCCATGCTGGAGCCCAAGGCCACCCATTACCTCGGGTTCTGGCTGGTGAGAGTCCTGGTAACTTCAGCACTCTCCTGTTTCAACTTCTCCCTTCAAGTCTCTCTGCTCATTGTGTCCTGTGTTTATTTATCAAATGTACACATTGTGCTCATAGGCACTGGTGCCCAGGCCTGGTATGAAATATTAAGTCACAATCTTTTGATTACTCCTGGAGATCTTCACTATCTTAGGCCCTGGTACAGAGAAGGAAACTGAGGCTTGGAGGAATCACGAAATCCTTGCCGTATAGCAGGGTGAAGCTCAGTGGTGAGCATTGGCCTACCAGGCTCTGAGCCCAGGAGAAAAGAATCTCCTGCAGAGGGGCAGAGCCAGGTCCTCCACTCCAGGGCAGTCCGGACCGGGGCCAGGGACAGAGTTTCCCATTCTGCTTCTGGTCCCAGGCTCTTGGATACTCTCTCCTTAACTCACATCACCCAGCAACTCTCTGTTGAATGCTTACAGTAGTCTCACTTTAGTGTTCCATTTAGGAGGGTGACAAAGAATTGAAAGAAGTTTTTAGAGTTTTAATTATGCAAGTAGTGACATCTTCCCTGAAAAAAAGAATGTGGGAGCTGGAAACGATGTGCATGATCTCTGTCTCCCCCGGTGTCCCGATGCCACAGCAGAGCGTGTTGATGAATTTCCTGCCACCATCTCACTGGACTGTGCATTGTCTTTTACTGTATTATTTCTATGAAATAATTCAAAGTAAAAGAAAATTACAGAGAATTTCTGTATGATGCCTCTGTGTCCACTTTTCATCCTCATTAAGCTTTGCAGCTCATGTCAGATTTTAAGTGAAATAAAACATTTAGAGACTATAATACAATATGTTCAATTCCAATACCCTTTCTGTCTTAGCAGTAACCTAAATTTGGTGTTTACTAATCCCGTGAATTTTTAATACAAAAAAATCCCTACCTTATCTGTGTAAGGTATAAAGAAAGATTTAGAAAATCACTATGTCATATATCCATAACCCAACTGACAAAGAGGATGGAGGATCCCCTGCCCTGGTCTCTTATCTGATTCCTTGTGTCACTTCCCTCTCATTACCCAGACGAAACACTACCCACAAACCTGCACTTATCATTCCCAGGCCTCTCTATATGCTTTTGCCCTCATGTACACATCCTTACCCAGTTTTTCCATGTATTCTAACTGTGGATCAATGAACTCTACCCAATGATTCTGCTATTTGCTTCTTCAATGTAACATGATATTCCTGAGATTCAGTCTGTAGTTTATTTTCACTGCTGTATTGTATTCTATTATGGGCAGACACCACACACTGTTAGTTTTACTGCCATTGGAACGTGAGCAGTTCAGCTTTCTGCTGCTAAAGCACTATTGCTATGATCAAACTCCTGGTGCCTCTCTGCAAGATCTGCCCAGGCGAGAGCAAAATTACAGAATTGCATGTATGCCCACAGCTTTATTAGATAATGCTGAATTGTTTTTGAAACTGATTTTTCCAATTTATACTCCCCATAGCAGGCAAGCAATTGTTCCCCGAGCTGATCAACATTGGATATTATCAGACTTCTAAATTACTGTTGATCTAGGGGGTGGAAATGGCACGACACTGTGGTTTTCATTTGCATTTCTGTGATTACTAATGAGGTTAGGCATCTTTGCACATGTTTATTGGCCATTTATTTTTCCTTTTCTGTGAAATTACTGTTCAAGCCCTTTGCCTATTTTCCTGAAACACTGTTTGTCTTTTTCTTATTGAGGTGTAGGAGTTCTCTACCTAACCTGAATACTAATCATTTGTTAGTTATATGCCTTGAAAATATCCCACTGTATAGTTCACCATTTTGCCTTTTCAGATAAGGTCATTTGATAAAGAAAAGTTGTCAATCTTAATGTAGTCAAATGTATTAATGATTACGGTTTATGCTTACTCTGGCTTGTTTGTGAAATCTACCTATTCTACATTCATAAAAATATTTTCCTATATTATAAGGGAAACTGGTCGATTTTCCATCACTGAGATGAAATACCCAAGATAACCAACTTACTGCAGGTGGACAGGCTCATTCTGGTTCATTGCCGCAGTGGTTTAAGTCCCTGGTCTTTGGTTCTGCTGCGTTCACACCGGGGCCACAGCATATCATCCTGGGAGCGCACGGCAGTAACAGCTCCTCACCTCCCACTTGGGGCAGCCAGGAAGCAGACAGAAAGACAGGCAGGGGCAGGGTCCTGATGCCCCCTCCGAGGACACACCCCAGGGACCTGACTTCTTTCTCTAGGTCCCACTTCTCAAAGCAGCAAGCGTTGGGGGCTGAGCCTTCCCATGTATGGTCCTTTGGTGGACAGTGAAGGATCCAAACTGGAAGCAGTATATAATTTTGGTTTCCGTATTTTGGTCTGTAACGTCACCTGTCTACTTTTGTGTGTAGTGTGGAAAGAGTTCTCATTTTTTTCATATGGGGAAGCAATTATCCTAGCACCGAGTGCTGTCTTCACACTGCATCACAGCGTCACCTCTGTCAGACATTTTGTCCCCATGGGCACAGGCCTGCTGAGGAAGTGACCCTGCCCTGTAGCTCATGAGCCCAAGTGCTGCTACTGATCTGTAAGAACCTTAACCACATACAGCGATGCCTGGGTTGTCAGACTCAATTTGTTCCAAATTCATGTTTGAACACCAGAAAGTTTGAGAACTGAACATATTTTTCCCACAAGAAATAATAGAAAGGGCCAGGGATATAGCCCAGCGACACAAGCACCTGCCTGGCAAGTGTGATATCATGAGTTCAATCCTTGGTTTTAAAAAAGAAAGAATTGAAAGACTCCTAGATACAATAAATAAATTCAGCAATGTAGCTAGATACAAAATCACTACTCACGTGGTGGCTCAGGCCTGTAATCCCAACACTTGGGAGGCTGAGACCGGGGGCTTGTTGCAAGTTCAAGACCAGCCTAGGCTACACAGTGAGCTTACGGCCAGCCTGAACTTCATAGCAAGACCCTGTCTCAAAAAGACAAAAAAAAAAATCAATACTCAAAAGTCAATAGCATTTCTATACACTAACAACAAAATCGCTGAGAGAGAAATAAAAGAAGCCACACCCTTCATATTAACATCCAAAAAAATGAAATACTTAGGAATTAATCTCACAAAAAGAAGTAAAAGATCTATACAGGGAAAATAATAATATCCTGAATGAAGAAATTGAAGAGGATCTCAAAAAATGGAAAGAATAAATATTATAAAAATGGCCATTCACCCAAAACTGTTATACAGATTGAATGCAATCCCAATGAAAATACCATCAACATACTTCATACATCTAGAAAAATCAATCCTAAAATTCATCTGGAACCAGAAGAGACCTAGAAATAGCAAAGGCAATTCTAAGCAGCAAAGGCAGGACAGGAGGCATCACAATCCCTGACCTGAAGTTATACTACAAAACAACTGTAATAAAATCAACATGGTACTGGAATCAAAACAGATCTGAAGATCCAACCACAAGTACCAACACACTCAACCACCTTATCTTTGATAAGGGGCCAAACACGTTCACTGGAAGAACAACAGTCTTTTTTGTCTTTTTTTTTTTATCGGTACCAGGGATCGAACTGACAACCACACACTTGCAAGGCAGGTGCTTAAGCCGCTGAACTAAATCCCAACCCCGACAGTCTCTTTAATAAACGGTGTTGGAAAAACTGGCTCTACACACGCCGAAAACTAAAACTAGACCCATGCCTATCATCATATACTAAACTAAAATCTAAATGGATCAAAGATCTGAATATTAAAACAGAAACACTAAATCTGTTGGAAGACAAATTAGGTAAAAATCTTGAAGACATAGGGGTAGGTAGAGAATTCATGAACAGGAATCAAACCGCACAGGAACTACTTCCCAGAATCAATAGCTGGGATCACGTCTTATTAAAAAGTTTCTGCATGTCAAAAGAAATCTCCAGCATAGTGAAAAGAAAACCCACAAACTGGGAAAAAAAATCTTAGTGAACTGTCCCTCAGACAAAGGACTTCTGTCTAAAACATATAAAAAATTTTAAAAAATCAGACCCCCGAAATTCAAAGACCCAATCCAAAAATGGGCACCTGAGATGAATACATAGTTCTCAGATGAAGAAATACAAATGGCAAATAAATACATGAAAAAATGTTCATCATCATTACTCATTAGAGAAATGCAAATTAAAACCACACTGAGATTCCATCTCACTATTGAAAGAATGGCCAGGATCAAGAAAATTACCAACAACAAATGCTGGAGAGGCTGTGGGGAAAAGGGAACTCTCTGCACTGTTGGTGGGAGTGCAGACTGGTGCAGCTATTCTGGAGGTCAGTCTGGATATTTCTCAAAAAGCTGGAATTGGAAGTCCCATTTGTTCCATCTATTCCACTTCTAGGCATATTCCCAGAAGAACTGAAAACATCATACCACAGTGATATATGTGCACCCATGTTTATAGCAGCACAATTTGTAATAGCCAGATCCTGGAAACAACCTAAGTGTCTATCAACTGAGGAATGGATAAAAAAGTTGTGGTACTTTTATACAACGGAGTACTCCTCGGCTACAAAGAATGATCACATTGAGATATTTATAAATAAATGGACACAACTTGAGACCATACTCATAAATGAAATAAATCAAACTCACATTATAAATAATGTATAGTCTCCCTAGTGTAAGAAATGGTAAGAGTACGTAAGAGTTTATAGTAATCATGATTCCCCATTACATTGCTCTGAAGCCTTATAATGTCTGCATTTATTAGTTGGAATGGTTTTATCCTAGTTTGTTTGATTTTATTATCTGTGGTAGTATAAGCAGCCATTTTAAAGAAAACAAGACATTAGACTAGCCAGTGCTGATTTAGTATCATCTTACTCTGAAGTCCTAGTATGCTTTTGTTTTTCTGTTGCCTTTGGTTCTATCCTGTTATATCTTATTGGATATTATTATGTGTGATAGTATAAACAAATTTTCTATGGAAAATGAAATAATATAGTAGCCATTGTTTGTTCTCTGCTATTTGGTTTTGAAATCCCTGGAATGCTTTCATTCTCTTGAATGGTTTTATACTGTTTTGTTATGTTTGATGCTATTGTATATGAAGCTATGCTCAACAAAGAAAGAGACATTATGGTAGTTACTGTTAATTATGGGTTGTCTTGTAAAATGCTGTGTTACTTGCATTGTTCTAATCTGATCTGCTTTGTTGTGTTCTCTTTTGTCTTAATCTTTTTAAAATAAAAAAATTTTTAAAAAAGAAAGAATGGAAAGCCAAATAATGGGTAGTGAGGCCTCAAAATTGTACTTAGGAATTCATTTTCCAGGGCCTAACACATTTTTCGATGATTCCTTTCCCTTGTGGCTCTCACAGCATTCCTCCTAGCTGCACTCTGGTATCACTAACTTTCCCTGGAGCCTTGGTGTCCACGTCTAGGCATAACACAAGACAGCCCTGCCCACACACAAAAATCCAAGTAGGATTTTTAGTTCCACTCCCAAGCAAAGTTACGAACCATGAGCAGTTTCATTTTTCAAACTTTTCTGTTTGAGTCGTGGAACATTCGAGCTCCGTTCAAGCTCAGAGCTGTTCAACAATGGCCATCACTATCATCTTGCCTTGCTTTATGTATTCATTACTTTTTACTCATCGCTGAGACAAAATACCTGAAACCCAAATTTGGGAAAGGAAAGGTTTATTTCTTACAGTTTTTGGAGGTTTCATTCCATACTCAGTTGGCTCCAAGGCAGGGGGGCATGGCGGGGCCACAGTTCATGGCGACCGCAAATAGCAAACAGCAAACAGGAACCAGCAAAGACCAAGACACACCTTCTTCCTGACATTACATCACATCCTGGATCCACCCCTTTGTGGGTGGAGCACTGGCACCACCAATCCAAGCACTAGACAATGAACGGATAACAAATGCACAATTCAAACTCATGAGGCCTGGGGGACACAGACATAAACCATGACACTTTACAACGCTGTGCTCACCTTGTAAACAAGTTGACTGACTTTCCTTCTCTTTTCATTCTCTGCAATGATTTTTCTATGAGTGACATTAATCATTGCCCATAAAATAATGTTGCCTATGGTCCATTTATTT